TATATATAACGGGGGGGACAGGCACTAATCTGAGAGTAATAGCATTGCAACTTCGCAAGGAGCGAATGATTCGGCCTGAAAAAGATGCTTAAAAGTTGAAAAACTGGAAGTGAACATGAATAAATGAGCGATTGAATTTAAGGAATGTACATCAGAGATAGTAGCAACATCTTACGAGTCACCCGAATCACCACAAGACCTAAGGCAACAGCTACACGAACAGCACCAACAACAACAACTGAACTGTTCCTCAGCAGATGACAGCACTTTGTTGGATCCAAGTCCTGTGGCAGATGCATTCGCCTACTCACCATCCATATTCGAGTCGTTGTCGATCGCAGCTGCGAATCTGATGGCAAACGGTGGTGCGACAACACCGAACGGAAACTGTACATCGAACAGTCTAACAACGACATCAACAACACCAACATTAACAAATGCTGCGAACAATATTAATGGTACCAGTATTGAGGAGGATGCCAACAATATATTCTCCCTTTTTTGTTCACAGCAACAGTCGAATAGCCTTCAGCTACAGTCACAGCCGTCCGAATCTCCACCGAGTAACGACGAATCCAGTAAAGATCAAGAGGTTCGTGCACTTTTTGTTTTCGTCATTGAACTGATTCTTCTTGCTTATTGTTAGTAAGAAGAAACTCTAATTTTTCATCAGTAGATTTCGAATATCATCATTCGATGTTGCCATAGCACTGGTGAATTCTTCACAGATTTTTAATCATTCTATATGATAAAACTGAAGACTTGAGGTAATGTTTGAGTTTGATTTTGGTTTACTTTATAGGATGGTCAAGAAAATGGTGGAAGTGGAGGGGCTTCAATGTCAAGATGCAGTAATTGTATGACAACGAAAACAACAGCTTGGAGGAGGGATCAGTCAGGAAAATTAGTCTGCAATGCTTGTGGTTTATATTATCGTCTTCATAGGGTTAGTGGCTATATTTCAAATTCTTTATTTAACTTGTATCAGTGATTTTTCGAAGAAAACGTTCTTTTCAAATAATTGTGATTGGTTTTCATTTTGAATGATCACTTCAATATGTCAGGAAGGAAATGAAATTCCACGGAATTTGGGATACTCATAAGTTACTGGTTTATTGCTTCGTTAGTTGTTATATTGACATTTTCACATCACATGAAAATAGAAGTAATCCAGTGTTGTGATAACGATAATAAGGATGATAAGTGTTCTTTCAGACGAATCGTCCAGTGCACATGCGCAAAGATATAATTCAGCAACGATTTCGGCGTCGTATGAAAGACGAAGAATTGTCGAGCTCGAATGCACATTCCATGTTATCTTCTCTAATCTCATTCGCACCTTCATCCGCAACTGCTGCCACGTTCGCCTTCCTGGATCATCACAACTCACTTCAAGCAGCACACAACCAAACTGCACCACTTTAGTTTTATCATCGACTGCTGTGATATGACAGTTGATGAGATTCATATCGCTCTTATCATATTTGATATCACTTCCTTGTATCATTCGTACTCTCCATCTTCTTGTTATCATTCTTATTAGTATAACCATTATCATTATCGCTACTACTCAATGGTTCTATTGTAATATCATCATCGTCATCATATATGTAATATGATCTACTTTAAACTGATACTGCTGAACTTTTAAACATTTAGAGTACTCATACTCTAAAAGCATGCATGCATCTGTATGTTCATCCTTCTATGAGTTTACGTCTTATTTCAATGTTTTAAAACGTGGATAGCATATGATCGTATCGTAGAGATTATGGTGTTTACTATTCAGCTGTTCAAAACGCTCTTTAAGATTTCCCAGTTTTTGGTAAGAAGAGCGAGCTTGAGTAATGTTTTGATCTTTGAGAAATATTTTGATCTTGAGAAATGTTTGTAAAGTGATCATTGATGATTAGCAGATTTCAACCTACGCATTCATCTGTTTATCTTTCGCAAGTACGATGGCCAGAGACAAGACAGGCGGTTTCATTTTCTTTAGACGGGATTGTTTCCTAGAAATTGTTGTTAGAGTATAAACCAAAAAGAATAATATTTTAAGGTGGCCACACAGTTTAGCTCCAACGGCAATGATAATTCAATGTTCCATTTTTGGTCTGCGTCTTACTCACTTAGTTTTGTTTCGAGAGAATTTTCGAGCGAACGATATCGAATCATCACCGAGATTACCTAAATTACCGGATGATATTGAAGCTTCTTGAGGTATACTGTTGATTTTCTTTTGTTTCATTTTTGAATAATATGAATGTTAATGAGAAAGTGCCTGAAAAGTAATTTTTATTCTCGAAATTTCAATTTTTTCTTATTCTGAAAATTGAATACGCATTATATGAATATGTACTCTACTACCGCGATGTGCTGAACCATATTGTGTTCTGATTATAAGTGATTGTTTTTTTCGACGAAAAAGACTGTTGTTTGTATTTACGTAAGTGTTCATCGTTATGAATATTAAGTCTCTATATTTACAATTTATACGTTTTGATGTGTAATACCTATTCAGCTTGTTGTTATATTACTTACACGTGTTCATTGTAATGTTATCGTCTATTTTTCACTTCTCATCAAATTTTGAGTTTAGAAAATTGATGCAGACAACGCTGGCAGAGGTTGACTTTGCTGTTGTTGTTGTTATCANTGTTGTTGTTATCAGCTCTCGTAGGGATCAATCTCAATCACTTTTCCTCCTTCAGATTGATTTTAGAAAACAACAAGGACGTAGGTGAGGGCGATAAATTTTGTTTTGTGCTTTTTCCGCTTCTGCGGTGTGAATGGTCAATTTCATAGACGTATTTCGACTAAAACTACGTCATCTTTTTGTGTGCAAAAACATTTTGCACTAATTGTAAGAGTTTTTTATTGTGTTTTTAGCTTTATGAGATTGCTTCAGTCAGATCTTTTTTTCTTCTCATTTCAGTGTTCATCATGTTTTAATCTCGTTCTTTTTGAAAATTTGTTGTATTTTATCGCATACAAACGAGCGAAAATTTTTGGATGCCTTCATGCTTTCGAAATCGATTAATTACATTCAATGAGGAACTAATTTTAGTGTGAGTGAGTGAGTATTAATGCGTTTGGAGCGATGATCGTTAATGAATATCAATTCGGAGATGCATCGTAGAACTTTTCAAATCTGTTGTTGCACTCAAGTTCTGACGAGAGTAGAAGCATAGCTCTTTTTTTTGTAAGATCAAATGCATGAAAGCATTTCGTGTTTTTATTAGTTAAATGTGAATGAAGTGTGTTGATCGTTAATCGTTCTTGGTTGGCCTCAGTTCTCCATGAATCTTCCTTGTTGTTTGAGTAATGTCTCATGAATAACATTTTTGTCTTCCAACTTGTATGCCAGGTTTCTTCTATTTGTTTATTATTATTACTGTTATTGTTACAATCTTACTGATATTACTAATTTCAGCAAAAACTACTATTGTTGATACTATCATTATTATCATGATTATTGTGAATTTGCTTTATTTGTAATTTTACGAATGTTTTCTCTCCGTATCGGGTTGATTCTCATCGTACTTCTATATATGTAAACAACTTAGGTACCAATCTGTCGAATATTCAGTCTTCGAATTCGAATATAACCTTTCCATTACTTTCGAACAATTTAGATCTGTTACTTTTTGGGGCCTTTTTTGTTTCGTTGAGCAAGTAGGAATTGAAAAATTTTTATTTCTCTGATTCCAATATAGTTTCGAGAATTTTTTGTAGAAGATCCAAAGAATTGAAGTTGTGAAAAAGTTTTTAGCCAATTGTAGTGAATCTTCAAAATAAATGAAGCGATTGAATGTTTTAATCGAAATTTTGAACAGCGAATTCGAGGATTGATTTGTTCAGCAGACGAATAATAATAAGCCGATGGTTTTTGTATGAAAGTAATTCTTCGCTTTAAGGTGATTTGCTTCTGTGTGAATGAAGCAGTATCGACAGCAACAAGAACAGTTATTACAAATACTACAATAATTAATCACTACTACTACTGCTACTCACTTGTTGTAATCAGCAAAATTGATAGATTCAAGTTCAGTTATATAGTTTGACTTGATCACTTCAATTGATTGATCGATTATTATGATCACATGAACGCATGCATCTCCGCTCTTGCTAATGTAACCGTTGCATTTCCCATTCTTATCGAGCTTTACCTTTTTTCTCTCGTTTTTTTCTTCATTTCATTTCATTTCGTTCCATTTCATTTTTTTGTTTNTTTTTTTTTGTAAATTTTCACAACTTTTTTTCACTTGTTGAATGAATGAATGAATTTTGTTTGTTGTTTTTTAAAATCAATTATAAGTAATTGATGGTATTAATGATTACGTAATGCATAATAATTGAGATCAGTTCTTTGATTGTTGTTTGCTATGTTTTGATTTGATTTGTTTCTTTGCGTTGTTCCACTTCAAATTCAAGTTTATTTCATTTCATTTCGTGTTGCATGATTATATTCATACTCTATGATATCGCTTTTAATCGCAATGAGATTCATTCGTTTTATTTTTACTATTTGCACTGTAATCTTTCTGAAATCATTAATTCGCTCTTCAAATGATGAACATACATACCAGCCAATGTGCATAATATTATAATCTCGTTTTCTGATGTTTCACGATACTATTATACGTCTTTACTATCTTCAGTATCATTTTTAAACACTCTACTTTATAAACCTTTTTTACAGTTATTATATATAATCAGTTTTGCTTGTTTGTAGATAAACAATACCATAATCTGTTTCACTTTTACATCACTATACGTACATGTCCAGTGCTTGAAGCATTCAATCAACGAGAGTGTCGACAAACTCGATTATTTAATCAGTTTTACTGGTTCATTAAACTGACGTGTATGATTGGCGATATTCATCGTTTGAATTATTTATTGTTCTTTGTGATACCATCGATAGAATTTAAATTGTTCCACTCTCACAACAATCCTCGCAGTTATTGTTGTTATTCTTATTGACGACTTTATTGCATTCGATTCGATCACAGAGAAGATGAGGCAGAAATGACGAATTGCTCATGAGGATGCTTTAATGCTCTCTGCAATATTGAGATTGTGTGAGGCTCACGATCACATTGATTTCGATTAGTAATCATTCCAAAGTTAAAAGAGGTTGTTGACAAAGGGGAAGATTGCGACACATTCCTATTGCTGCGATCATTTCCGAAGCTGACTTCGATTACACTTATTGTCGTTCTTTTTTCCTTAACACATTGAAATGAAGTTAAATCAAATCCAAAATCCCAAAAACATTCACTGATAAATCCTGATCACTTGTTGCCCTAAGGTTGTTTCAAGCATTAATACTATTGGCCTCACCACAATTGTTGACTTAGAAATGGCTGTTTGGATTTGCAGAGGGATGTTGCGAATGAGATGATGAGACCAATAGTAATTGGCGTTTGCTTTGGTTGTGTGTTTGTGATATGATTGGGTCAAACACGTCAAAGCAACCTATAACGTATTCCCAGAACTTTTATCCCTATATAATCGCATTGATAAACGCACGGAACAGTGTCTCATTGACGCACCAATAACCAATCGTCAATCCGTCTTTAATCACCCGCATATCCGAATCCTAATCCCTCCTTTATCCTTTATTATTCATTCTCCTCGCTACCATCTTCCTTCACATGTATTTTATCACTGCTCAAAGATAATCAATCTGTAATGTTTCCCTCACTTTGCATCTCTTCTCCTCCTACTGCTCACTACTACCACTGAGTTAATCCTACTACCACTTCCCTTCTTCCTTCATCCATCTGTAATACGATATCACAAATACTCTTTCAAATTTTCGTCTCATTTCATCGATAATAACGATGAATTTAAGTGACATCTACGAGTGTATATAATAATAATCCTAATAATAATAGTAATCATAGCAAAAATATCGCATAATCGCGCAGTGATAATCAAACTGATTGGTTTGTTATGGACAACAACAGTACAACGCAGCAATATTATTGAATAACACTCAACAACCATAGTAATGAACACTAGCAATATAACTTAACGCCGATATTAAAACTACTCGCTTAGCCAATATATCAGATTTATTGGTGCTAAAATACCAGTATAAGATTAGAGTAACATTCTTGTGTTGATATGACGGTCGATCTTTCCGTATATTCGTTCGTTCATCCGTCGATAACAAACACAAAACAGCATTAATCATGCTTCATTCGTATGTGTATACACACATATATAGTCGATATTCAATGATATGATATAGATTCATTTGGTTTTATTTGATTCACATCGACACTCATTTCACCGCTTATATCACTTCCACTATCATAGGGACCATATCAAACGCACTCTCCTCGCATCATCGCTTGAATACATTTGGAATTTTAATGAATCACTTAAAAGCAACAATAAGGACAACTTGAGATACGGATGGATGATAAGATAATAGATGCGCATCGTTGTTTATTCAAAAATCTGCGAGAATTATCTGTTAAGTGATTCGATTTTGCATTTGCGACTTTTTTGTCGAGCAAAAGCATCACATTTTGTGAATACACTTTGTAAGCACTTTATGCAAATGCAGAGATTTTTAAAATTTGAAACATATGAAAAGGATTTGCGAGATGAGCAAAGAGTTACAGTCAATTAGTTGTACTTTATGTAAAGATTAGAGTGAAAGCGATTCTGAATCGTATGATTTGAATTTAGTTTATTTCCTAAACGAGTAGTTTAAAACAACCAACAAAATTTGAATTGTCTCATTGTCGTGTTATTTAAATTATTATCTCTTAAAGGCATAGTATATAAATGAGTTTGATCGCACTTCAAATTGTCTTCGGTTTTTTTTGTCGGTTGAACTCACAGTCGTTGGTTGGTTTCAGTGCCTTAATCCGAGCAATTTGGTGATAACAGTGAGGCATGAGTGGTTATCAGAGCAATTCTGTATTTATCGTCGTTCATTTGGAACGGTTTTAGACTGAATCTGAACAATTGTTCAGCTTCAGATTTTTTTCCGTTAAATGCATTGGAATGATTCAATTGTGTTCAAGAAATTATTAGCTATTCGCCTGAATTAATGCTGATCCGTGATGTTTACAGTGAGAGCAAATACAATATCGTTATTGAAAGGGGTTGTTATTGTTCCGGTTTAGCAATCAACACCGGTTTATCATCTAACTCGTCGGTGATTTGCTTCAGATCGAACCATTCACTTAACATTTCTTGATTTCTTCTAATTACTTTCTTCCCCTTGTTTCTATAACAATCTATTTATGGGATCATAATGCTTGACAGAAATTTGATTAATCTATTGTTTTGTTGGAAACGGTCAACATTCACTCAAACACTTGTTTACTTCTTCGGCGCTAGACGCCAGCACTACTTAATTTTCTCAATATATTGTTAAAGAATTTCAAAACTGACACTGAATCGAATCAATTCGAAGTGTAAATGTGACAAATGAAACGTTTTTCTATAGTTCATCATTGTTGAGAGTCATCTATTCGACAAGCTTGTATGCGATTGATAAGCTTTTGGATACCTGAGCAGTATTATTAATTGGTGATAGGTGGGAACGTAGCAAAGACAGGATCAGCACTAATCAGCAACGCCACATTCTAAATTCAATTTCTTTTCCACCAACAAATAACATTTAAAGTGCAATCTGTGGACACTATCTTATTTTTTTAGCTTTTGTTCAAGTAAACAGTTTTCCATGGCTGTTGACTCGTAATACTGAAAACTGTTAAGTCGCCTTAGCAACTGATAAGAAACGCATTCACATACTGATACGACTCTATTCCTTTGTGAGAAATTATTGCCTACTGATTGAAGTTTTAGCTGAAAAACGGCAAATTTTTATTGAACAATCTTGAATTCGCGTATGAACAGGTGAGATTTTAGAAGGTTTGTTGCAATTTTGAAAGGATAAACGTTCAGAGAGTTTTATACACGTGTTTGTTATGAAGTGTGTTCTCTGATGTGCACTAGTAATTGATGATGAGTGGACAGCGTTGAGAAGACTTTTTTTTCGATTCTTGTTCATGTCATTTATAAAATAGTTCTGTATTGTTGATGTTGGTGATACGAGACGGGACGTACTTATGTTTGAGAGTGTATGTATGCGTATTGTACGTGTTGGAATTTGTATCGAATAGTGTTGAAGTAATGACAATTTTATGAACGAGTTTGCAGTTTTATGCGATTGCTAATTGCAAGTTCAAATAAGTTAACGATATTTTTTGATGAATGGAATTGTGTTGTTAGTTGGATGATAACAGATTGATATTCTAAACTTGAAGATTTGAAGTTTTTTAGGTTTTTATTCTTGTTCAACAGCAACACCAGCAGGAACTAACGTTTCGTTCAAGATGATACCAACATTGAGCCGAGTTGGTCAACGGATCTTACAGAGTACCGTATGCAGGGTAGAGTTGCTTGTTTGTTCGTTTCTTTGTTGATGAAGTGATAACTAGATTGATATATGGAAGTGATATTCGATTAATAGACGCACGATTGTGCAGATAAATTGTGCATATACAATAGCACCTATAAAGTTACTTGGAAATCTTGCTAACAGATCTTTCTGTAAGCATGAAGTGAGTCCTTATATTATTCGTCAAGATGTGACAGTTGAAACCGTAATAAACAACTATTGCGTTTAAGATACCAATGAAAGTGATAGCAGTGGTAATATCACTGATGATAATAGCAGCAATGAGAATGAGAATAATTGAGATAACAATACCAATCATGATAAAATAGTGAACTTGTATAAAATTGAAGCCATACCAATCAGTCCGTCTATTGAATTTGCAAGAGTATCAAAGCAAGAAACTGCTCGAAGACTATGGTTGTTGCATCCAACGTTTCATTGTGGCCGGTAATCGCGCGGAGGCCGAAAGTCAAATGAATGATTTCAGTTAGCCGTTATCGTCATTCACTTTTGAAAGGATTTGTTCTTATTATCACGATCAACGATTACAGTTCGTATCCTCATGACATTTATAACGAACATATTCGATTATAAATTCAAGTATCAAAAGCCGTCAGCTAATCATATCTCTCAGTCACATTCATTGATTGTTGTTATAATTGATAATATGTTGAGCAGATAAAATCACTAATGGATAACTTGTAGATCGCGCTCATTATATGGTCAAATCACAAGTTCTGGCTGGAGGTCGTGGCAAGGGACGTTTCATTGGAGGCAGGAAGGATTTGGGTGGAGTGGTTATCGCCAATAAGTAATCATTTTTCAACAATTCAAGTTTCCCAGCTCTCTTCTATCGTGAGAATTGAAATCAGTTAGGTTGAAATGTTCGGAATCTAATACGAAAATTGGGGTCACTTTGACACTTAGCTGCTGATGATCGTTCACATCTTTGCGTTCTGAAATTCTCGTTATTATTATTGCTGTTAAAGTTAGTGTTCCATATTATCTCTATTGTTTTTTCATCGTTATCATCGTTCGCTAAGTATTATTATCGTTATTGTACATATTATTTCGAACGAATGCTTTATTGCAGTAAGAAGGAAGTGTTGGGTTATGTTGACGAGATGTGCGGTAAAGTCTTAGTGACCAAGCAAACCGGCAAGGAGGGACTTCTGGTTAAAAAGGTTCATTTTTAGGACTGATTTGACAACCCTCAGTAATAAACATTTCAATATGATCACACTTTCAACTTTAACTCTTTAAAGTGTGTTTGTGTTCCAGCCTTGAAGTGGCTGGCTGCTGATAATGAATTGTAAAAGTTGACAATAGTTGGATGGGATTTGTTGATCAAATTTGATCTTTTAACGATAAGATAGTTAAAGTGATTAATCGAGTCGTGTAACTGAAGGTATTGATATGCGAAGCAGTTTCAATCAAACGTGAAACGTACCTCGCAATTCTGCTGGATCGTGAAGCCAACTGTCCGGTTGTGATACACAGTCCTGAGGGTGGAATGGACATTGAAACTGTTGCTCGTGAAAAGCCAGATCTCGTGTATAAGGTTCATTCGTAGATTCCTTGAAATTGATAATCAGTTAATAATCGTAATTCATAGCTTTTTTCAATTATTTTCATCACCTCTTACAATTGTTGATGGCTGACTCCTAATAAATATTCAAATGTTCTTCAAAAAGTTTTTGACGAATGATCAAGGTGTGATTTCAGGAGCCAATTGATATCATACAGGGTATGACTAAAACACAGGCTATGAAAATTGCGAAGAACCTCAAGTTCACAGGTGTTTGCGCTGAACGAGCCGCACATGAAATTCGTTGTTTGTACGAGCTGTTCACTGCCGTTGATGCAACAATGGTGGAAATCAACCCGCTCGTCGAATCTGAGGGAATGCAAGGTTTTTAGTCACAACTTTATTGTGACATTCATTTCATTCCATTTTTATAATTGCTCGCAATTAACAGTTTGTCTGATGAATTCTTCGTTCATTCTCTCCCGTTCCATCTTCTTTTATCAGGAGCAATTCTGTTATAAAACATTCATCTTCATTAATGAATCTTTATCAGTTTTCACCAATTCGTCGATAACAGGAATTCTTGAATCCTAATTCAAAGGTTTCATCGAACTGCTTATTTTTCCAAAAAAAACCTGAAATCTATTCTGATTCCAAAAAAAAATCTGAAAACCGAAAACATTCTGTCCACCTAGTGTGCTGTTATTGTACGGATGCCGTCAATTGTTCAGTGCACACTTATTTTTGT